TTTAGTTTTGATTCACTATTTTAGCGGTAATGACTTACACATTAAAAATAGATATATGGTGTCACGGACTTTTTTTTAGAACTATTTAAGAGATACATTTTCACTCTACATTACATTCATGTAATTTTTATTGTTTTTGCAGTGCAGGCCAAAATGGCTCGCAAATGGGAGATTTTTTTCCGTCTTATGTGACACTTATTGTTATATATTGGCCAATTCTCTCAATAACTACATAAATTATTATATATATGTAATTATCATATATGAGCTATATTACTGTTAAGTTTCATTAAAATCCATTCAGTATTTTTAGGTGAAAGAGCAACAAAAATCCATACAAACGTAAGATTGAAATTAAAAGCGTAAGTGGTTAATATACAACTTTAAAGCGTTGTAGATCTTAAACAATCATATAAAATGAAAAATGGTGTTAGGAACTTAAATATGATTTTTGATTATCTAGACAGTGATACCCCACTCGACATATTTTGTCAACTTATTTTTTTTACTTCGCCACAATATGGCGCCTAATTTTGACCATATTGAATTTTGATTACTATCATATCTTTAGTAGCACTCCCATGATTGAGACGAATCGATTGATGTATGAATCATCAAAATCGGTCCAGGCGTTTGGTCTCTAGTGTGCCACAAAGGAACAAACATACATATATAGACTGTTAAACACATAACCCTGTCTGCGCGTCGCGCTTCGCGCTCTTGCATTGCGCAGCCGGGTAAAAATATATATTTTTATATGAAATTAATCATCAAATTAAAATTATATTTTAAAGAAGAAATTGGATGATTTTATATCTAATTTCAAATCTAACATTAAAATAATTTAAGTAAGGTAAGTATAAATGCAAATAAAACTAATTAAACATTCCATTTCGCAGGCAATTCAAAGACGTTTGAATATAAAACTGCGAGTAATTTCTATTTTACCTACGGCTCTGTGAAAATGGAAAGTGTCGATCTTATTGCTCATAAGATAAGGTTTAGAGTTAGATCATAGAGGTTTCATTTCAATGTTAATTGACGCGGTGTAGGTATTTTGGCCGTAGGATTAAAAATACGCGGCGAACCCACGCGGAGCGCCGCCCGTGTGATCAATGTCGATCAAAATAAGCCAACTGAACATAAAGAATAAGTTAATCAGTAGCTATATGCGATATATAATCGAATCATAAATATTAGTACTTACTTATCCATACCATTATTGTAAATGCGAAGTTAATCCGTCTGTTTGTACCCATAACGAAAGTTGCTTGACTTCCACGAACACCAATCGAACATGGTAACTACGCTGCCTTTTTCAAGTTTGTCTTTAAACATTCTAAACTTATTAAAAACTGATTTGCAAAAAAACGTGTGACGTCGTCGCATATCTAACGCCTAGCAGCAGCAGATGCGAGAACCACTATTAATTGAACCTAATTTTTCAAAACACAAAATAATGGAATACTTATGAAAAAAAAAACATTTAGAAGTAAAATTTATACATATAATAAAATGGTTGGAAAGTCAAAACTGTACATTGAATATTTTTTAAAAGAATACTCTAATCTACAATCGATACCGAAGCCAAAAATACAGTTTTTTGAAATTTTGACTGTTTGTATGTATATCCGCGATAAACTCAAAAAGTACTGCATGGATTTACTTCAGATTTGGTAAGAATATTATTAAGAAGTCGGATCAACATATAGGCTACATATTATCATGCTATCACCTACGGGGTAAGAGCAGTGACTCTTTATTTCTAACTAACTCCACGCGTACAAGTCGCGGGCTGCCGCTAGTCATACATGTTTTTTTGTAACGCCTAACAGAAGCGGAGCTCCAAAGAAAAATGTTGCAAAACGAGAAAATATATTCCTTTAGTGAGCTTCCGTTGCGTACGCGTTACGCAACTAGCGTAAACAGCACAGACTATTAGGCGCATTGCAGACGGCGGGGCGGAGCGGGCCGGTCAATTTCGCCGCAAACGATAGCACAAAGTGAATCCTATATTACAAACGCACACAGAGGGCAAAAAGGCCGCGCCGCAGCTGCCCGGCGGGCACTGGCGGCGCGGCATGTCCGCGGCTGCCCGCCGTGGATCATACAAACCAGTTTATATGCAGTAACGCAGACGGCGGCGCGGGGCGGCTAGCTCAGTCCGCGCCGCGCGCTTTTTAGTGATGGACTATTCACTAGAACGAACGACAAAAAGCCCGCCCCGCCCCGTCGTCTGCAAAGCGCCTAATAGTATGTGCTGTTTACGCTAGTTGCGTAACGCGTACGCAACGGAAGCTCACTAAAGGAATATATTTTCTCGTTTTGCAACATTTTTCTTTGGAGCTCCGCTTCTGTTAGTCGTAGCGTGATGTTATATAGCCTATAGATGCCTTCCTCGATACATGCACTATCCAACACATTTTTTTTTTCAAGTCGATCCATCCCTGGTTCCTGGTATAAGTGCGTTGAACCAAACAAACAAAGAAACTCTTTAGCTTTTATAAAAATAGCATTGATAACGCTTGAGCAGTGAAGCTTTTGTTATTGAGCTTCGTCGCTTGAACTGTTCACAAGGCCGTCGTCACCCAACGATATTATAAACCGCATTAGATGGTGGTACAGAAGGACAATGAAACATAAAAAAATATGAAAAATTTATAAAATATTTCAGGATACTCTGACGCGCAATTTAAGTGGTTACGTTATTTCTGTGATGACTCAGCGTGCATCGCCCCTTGTTCCTTTATGAATTTTATTGTAATAATGAAAAAAGGTATCTATGGATTTTATTATGATAAATAGCGGAATCGACAGACGTTGTCTTGTCCAATGAAAGAAAAATGAATTGATGACTCCACCGATCCACTAATCAGGGAACGTTGTAAGTTTTCTTGAATTTTATTATTTCTGCAATTTTCTGCGCAACTTTCTTAATTTATTTTTGTTTCCATAAGGATATTCTAAAAAGTATTGGAGCAGTTTAAAAAAAATGCCTGAAATCAGTTATAAATCAGTTGGTGTTATTTTTTATAACTATGTACAGATTAGTAAAATCCTGGGACAAATCATGTTTAAAATAATGAGTGTGAAAAGAAGTTCTATCTATTTATGCAACACATTCCACATTAAGACTATTATTTATAATAAAATGCCTTGTTATTAAATAACCTGTGCTACGTGTCAGTTCTTGGTCGCTTTACACTATCAGAGTTTCGTGATATATGATAACGTTAGAACATCTCACAGTGAGATAATATACTTTATCTCTTGTTAGTAGACTTATGATTATTTATTTGTATATATATCATATCTTTTAGCGTATTATCAGCTTCAACTGTTTTTACCACATCACATACAAAGTTTGAAATAGGTAACCTCTGCAACTAGTTAATCATAAATTATGAGAAAAAGTGACTGTGACATACGGACCAACAGACGGACGGACATGACGATAAGGGTTCCGTTTTTTGCCATTTGACTACGGAACCCTAAAAACATTCACCACATTTTGTTAGTAAATTATATTATACTGTGAAATCATAAAGTCATGGGTATTAATAGTCTGAAAACGAAAGTAGGAAATTAACTTTACCGTTGTGCATTGATCTTTCAATTATTTTTTTAGGCACGTAAGTAATTTATTCTGTTGCTGTTTGACCTTTTGTAGTACAGTTTGGGCATGATAACAATAAATACGATAGTAAAATCCTTGAAAATAAATATAATAAAGGTATATGCAAGGACCTATATTTCGATATAACTAATTATTTGAAATATTACGATATCTTTAAATTCTCAGCCTTTTTAAAGGACACCCGGCAGTTAATGCTAATGTTGATACCTTTTTTATTATCTTTTACTCGTTATCTGGCAATATTTAGTGTCAAGGGTGCGTTTCATATATACCGCAGGTGCAGCAATCGTCAAATAAGACTTAGTTCCAAGGATTTTCAATACATTTAATGTTAAAATTGAAAGTGCAGAGTGCGAAGTTGCACTCGGAGCGTAGGTTAAAAACGTGCTAATAACGAAATAAGGAACGTACTATAAGTAAAATGCCTGTTTGCAATGCAATAAATGTTTGGATCAAGCACAGATAAATTATGAGTGAAATAAAATTTTTAATATTCAGTTTCTCTGTACTATTATTAAATATCTCTCAATAAATTGTTGAAATTAAATGAGTTTAATTAAATACAGCCGCTTCAAATTACTACCTAATTAGTTATATATCCGCTGCTTGTTGTTTCAGTGTTTCTATTTCAAAAAAATGATTTTTTTATTAATTCCGCGATTCGATAAAAATGAGTCAAAAATTGGTGTATGTAATATATATTTATATTATTATTTTTTATTCATTTTTTTTAATTCGCTTTATTTTAAGACCAAATTTAATTGTATACAAGTTAAGCACTTTTTCTATGAAAAGTGCCGGTTCTCCTTTAATATTGAAAAATTCATACCAGGTGGTAAGTGGCAACATTGCCTAATTTCGTCAGACCAGTGAAACGAAGTTGTATTATCAACAACGCGTGAGGTTATACAACATTATCATAAAGTCTCAAATTCAATTGTGAATATTTTATCAATGTGTAGAAAAAATTCGTGAGGATGGCTGATGTGGTAGTTAAACTTCTGTACCATCAATCTTCGCGTCTAAACTCCACCGTCACTTAACATCAGCTGGGGTGGAGTAATTTATCGGACCCATAAAAATAGGGATATTAAGCTTAAATACCATAAGTGAAATGTAAAGGTTTGGTTAAGCTGACCTGTCGTTGTCTGTACAGTCGTAGTCACGGCTGTGCATACAGTTTTACAATGAATATGCCTACTACTTGCTACATATTTAAATTGCTGTCGATGTACATACGTGTCCACCAATAAGAACACGACTGTTCTTCCTAATATTTCACGCTTAAATTTCTTTTCATACAGATACGCTCGAATCTATATAGGTAGTAAAGCGGCTAGAAGACAATATAAAAAACACTTACCGTTTTAACATGTTCGCCATTTTATGCCTTCCGCTAATTGCCGTAGGTAGATGGTTATTACTAATTGCCAAATTTAGAACACTGCCACAACAAATTGTTTAGAAAGTGAGACATCCATCCTTAGCCCGGGGCACTGAGACTGTAAGTGAATGCTATCTTGACAGATCGAAGTTTTGTCAACATTATCTAGATCGCAATCTTGGAACAACACGTCAATCATCCGCCGCAGAGCCAGCCACTTATCTCCCGGCCTTTGATATGTATTGTCACGTGGAAATATACGGGATAATAATAGGTTGGGGAAAAAGTTATTTCGCATTATAGTGTGTTTGAATTTGTAATAAAATCTCTTTGGCTATCTCATTTTTAACTGGCTGGTTTTGGTATCATTAAAATGTTTTAAATTAAAAGAAAATAATTCCAAATTCAAATTAGAAAAAAATAGATTTTCACTTGTTTTTCTTTCTGTCAAGATGAGTGAATGTAATGAAGAAATTTGATACATTTTACAATTTAACTATAAAAAAAGGTAATAATGCAACGCAAGCCGGGATAAAAATTGTGATGTTTATAGACCTAGTACAGTGTCTGTAAGAGTAGCACAAATTTGGTTTAAGCGTTTAAAATCCGGAAATTTTGATGTCGAAGATGCACGTCGCTCTGGTCACTTACGCTTACAGATAAAATGGATGACATTTTTGCAAAAGTGAAGCAAGATCGGCATAACAGTAGTTGCTAAATAGCTGAAAAACTCGGAATTGACCACAAAACAGTTTTGGCGCATTTGAAAAACGCAGGGCACACAAAATAGCTCGATATTTGGGTGCCTGACGAGCTCTTTGAAAGACACCTAATGAACCCATGTACTCATTTGTGATTCTCTATTTCGACATTATGAAACCAAACCATTTTTGAAGAAGCTGATAACTGGTGATGAAAAATGGATCACGTACGACAAGAACGTGCGAAAATGGTCGTGATCAAAGGCCAGTCAGGCTTCACAGACTGGCAAAACCCGGGTTAACTCGCAACAAGGTGATGCTGTGTGTATAGTGGGATTAGAAGAGCATTATTCATTATGTTTTGTTACCGCCAGACAGGACCACCGATTATGAACTCTACTGCGAACAACTGATGAGATTAAAGCAAGAAGTTGAGAGAAAGCGCCCGGAATTAATTCATCATGATAATGCTAGACCTCACACATCTTTAGGCGCTCAGCAAAATCATGTCCCTACCTACAAGATGGCAAAAAGTTATCGAACGAAATGGCACCCACATACTTAAGTTAAATGTATACATAAACTTTATTAAAAAATGTTTAGAATTTTCATATAACATGCGAAGAAACTTTTTCCCCAACCTAATAAGTATGTTGTGTGTGGTGGTGATGTGGTTGATATAGCCTAAAAAAATTGTACGTGGTAATGATCTCTATATAATATAGATCTCATCGTTAGATCGCACTGAAATCTAGATCCAGGAGTTTGATTCACAAACTGAAGTGAAAGCCGTTCTTTTAATATCGATATCAATGTATCGTGAACATCGTCGTGTCGTGCAATAAAAATAACGCAAGTGGGAAGGACGACTTTAACGATCACGATATATTGAAAATCAACATAAAGAGAATAAGCGCTGATTTGATGCTTAAATTACAGGCCGTTTGTATGTACTGATACCTGGACATATCTCGTATTTTCTTGTACATTCAATTCATTTATTGCTTCAATTTAATTCTATGCAACAGGCAAGAAACTTGCATCGTGTAAATGGCGCTTTAGTTTTTAATGCAATTGATCATGTTATAGATAAAATTGGAATAGTAGTTTGAATTCCGAAATCACTTTAAAAATCGTAAAATATGTAACAAAACTCTTTCGATTCCTTGACATTATAAAAAACCTTGGTAGCCTAATAGGGAAACCCTTGGTCCATGGGCAAAACTCCAAATGCGGCAAAATCTGGTTAAATATGATTGTTCAGAAAATAACGAGTTTGTTTCCAGGGATACATACATTTAAGCCAAAATTTACCTTGTTTTGAAATGATTTTAACGAAATAAGCTTTTGGTGGGCAGGAATCAAATTGGCTGATTGTCCATTTTACTATCTTTGTTACAATTGTTAAAAAAAATTTGAACGAGTTAAAAGATCTTTCAAAAAGTAAATTTAAATTATGTATAATTTCAATGGCTTATCAGCAAGATATTTGTTTTTTTCGCTGCATGCACTCGGTCTGATTTTATTTAGTAAAGCAAAAAAGCAAAATTTCTTCAATCGCAAGGTCGATGAAGAAAAATTATCAATAAAAAAATGTAGAGTGAATGGTTTTCTGACACGTAAATATGATAAGTTAAGTTGAGTTTACCATAACGAAAATGCATTTTCTAAATACAGACTGTTGAGTTAAATAAGCTTTTAAAAAGTTTAACCAGATGACAGCACTGTCTATGGTCTATGACACTATGTTTTATTGTACATCGTGTTCTTGCTGTGCAGTTGAACAATAAAAGTTTTCTTTTACTAATTAATTACCATCTTTGACTTGTTAAAACACCCATATACCAATAGGTTATGGGCCCAGTAGACTCTACAATTGAAATATCAAAGAAAACAGCAAAGAAAAGTTACAATCGTTGTTAGAACAAATTGACAAGATAACCTCAAAAATGGATTCCCGCGTGACAATGAATTTAGATAAATTCGATGGACAGAACTTCAGGCAATGGAAATTCCAGATAAAGTGTGCACTAAAAGCAAAAGGGATAGATATTTCAGTGCCTAAACCATCTGTAAACAGAGTTGAGTGGACGAAAAATGACGGCTTGGCAATGTATATTATGACCTCTTCGATGGATTACAAACAAATTACCTTGATAGAGAACTGTGAAACTGCCATGGAAATAATGTCAAAACTAGAATCAATATATGAAAAGAAGAGTGAATTATGTAAAATGTTAGTTCATGAGAGATTCTATCAATACAAAATGTCTACAAGTGACAGTGTCGCTCAGCACATTTCTAAGGTCGAATCTTTAGCCAAGCAGTTAAAAGAAAGCGGAGAAAACATCAGTGAAATGGCTGTGATAACAAAAATACTTGGAACATTGCCTCCCAAGTATAGATCACTCCGTCAAGCCTGGATGTCATTGGATCCAGCCAATCAGACTCTTGTCAATTTAACTGCTCGTTTATTGGACGAAGAAGCCAGCTTGCAGTGTGAAGACGAGCAGGAAACGGCTCTCCTTGTGGCTAACAAAGGTTGGAAGAATAACCCAAAACAATACAATCAGAATAACGGTGCCGGTGGTTCAAATCAAAATAAACCCACTAAACACAGGTTCGAATGTTATAATTGTGGAAGGCGAGGACATTTTGCTCGAGAATGTCGTGCTCCGAAGAAATCCAAGCCCAGAAAACCTCAACAGGAAGGTGCAGATTTATTAGCGTTCAATATAGAAACCAGTTGTAATACAACTGAAGAGAATACTTGGATTTTGGACAGCGGTGCCTCTGCACATATGACATACAGAAAGGAGTTCTTTCTAAAGCTTTTTGAATGCAGCCAGAAATCATTGACATTAGGAAACAAACAGTCAGTTGAAGTGGCCGGCATTGGCAAAGTGTTAATAAAGAGATATGTCAATGGACAGTGGGAGGATAGTGAGCTGCATAATGTGTTATATGTTCCGAATTTAAGAAGGAATTTATTTTCAGAAGGTGTGATAATGCGTCAATCCTATACGATTATAAAGAAAGATTCTAGTGCACTAATTTATAAAGGTAATGATTTGGTAAAGTGTGCAAGAATAACAGAAAACAACTTGTATAAGTTAAAGATAAAAGCAGTGGTTGCAAACACCTGTAACTTAGTCCAAAGTAATCAAAATAATATTAAAATATGGCATGAAAGACTGGGACATCTTAACCTAAAACAAATCAAGAATATGAGTGCGAACAATGTTGTAGAGGGTTTGACACTAAGTGAGAGTGATCAAACTGACTTTGTGTGTGAAGCATGTGCATATGGGAAGCAATGCAGATTTCCATTTCACAAGTCTGTACGTGGTGAACTATAGCCAGGTGACCTGGTATATAGTGACGTCTGTGGCCCTATGAATCATACATCTATCCAGATATTTTGTTATATTCAAAGACGCTGCTACAAGTTACAGACATGTATATTTTATCAAACATAAAAGTGATGTGATGGAAGTATTTAAGAAATACAATGCTATGATCAAAAATAAGTATATGCACAGTGTAAGGATATTGCATACTGATAATGGAAGGGAGTATATCAACAAATTTTTCGAGGACTACCTGAACAAAGAAGGTATAGTACATGAACGTACTGCACCTTATACACCTGAACAAAATGGGCGTGCAGAGAGAGAAAACCGCACAATTGTGGACAGTGCACGCTCAATGTTGTATGCGAGGGATGTAACACTGAACTTATGGGCAGAGGCTATTAATTGTGCAGTATACTTATTAAACGGGACTTCCTCCAGCCAGACTCCTCAGAAAACACCATTTGAACTATGGAATGGCATCAAACCTCATTTAGGCCATGTTAAGATATTTGGAAGCATAGGGTATGTACACATTCCTGATTCACTTAGAACTAAACTTGAAAAGAAGAGTGAGAAAATGATATTAGTTGGGTATGATAACAACAATTATAGGATTTTCAGTTTAGAAACCAAAAGGGTGAAAATATCAAGAAATGTCATCTTTGATGAACAGCATGTTCCAGATATAAGGAAAAATATTACACAAATATGCTTGGATAATGAAGAGAGAGTAGAGCCAGAAAATGAGACGCAAGGAACTAGTGAAGAGGATACTCTCATAGAATCTACATCATCAGAGAACGAGGGCAGCTTGCAGAGTTGTAATAGTGATGACCCTGCATACGAACCCTCTCAAGAGATAGATTATGACATAATCCAGAACAATATAAATTTGAGACCAAGACATAATAGGATCTTTGAAGCTAACCTAGTAGAATTTTCAGTGCCACAAACATATGATGAAGCAATGAAGAATCCCCAAAGAGATGACTGGTTGCGACCTATAGATGAAGAATTGCTTGCACATAAAGAGAATAATACTTGGACTTCAGTTGA